CAACTGGAGCTGGGAGATAGGGAGGGGGCAGCACCAGGGACCCCCTGAGATGTATTTATTGGATACAATCATTTGGGCAGTTCTGCTATGGAACCAGGATCCAGGCCAGGGTTCTTCATTTCAACAACTTTAACATATGTGGAATTCTCGGAGTTTGAAGTCTACCTGACTTGAAGTTGTTGAGATGGAATAAGCGAAGTAAGAGTTTGAAGGAACCTTGGAGGTCTTCTAGTCCAAGACCCTGCTCAGGCAGGAGACCCTATATCTTCAGAAAAATGGTTGTCCAATCTCTTCTTCAAAACCACCAGTGATGGAGCATCCAAAACTTCTGAAGGGAAACCATCCCATTGATTAATTGTCCTAACTGTCAGGAAATTTCTCCTCGGTTCTAGGTTGCTTCTCTCCTTGATTAATTTCCAACAGTTGCTTCTTGTTATGTCTTTAGGTTGCTTTGGAGAATAGGTTGACTTCCCTTCTTCCTTCTGGCAGGCCCTTAATTTGTGAAGTTTCCAAAAGCTGACCTAATTAATTTACGAGCCTCGAAACAAAGTTCAAAAGAAATCCAGTCATTTATTGGGATCAACATTTTGGCATGTTCTTCTGCGGAGCCGAAACTGATATCTGTTTAATGGTCTTTGCACTTTACCCCTATGTCTCCCCTCCCTCAGTCTGTGTCATAAATCATATCCACCAACGAGTTTGTAGAAATATGAGATTCGGCTCTTGCTGAAGGTACGCATGAAATCCTCCCTCCAATGTCAACTTGATAATAGTCAACGAACACCTTAGATATTGTAGAAACTTTGGTTGAGCCCATAATTGGCAATCTTCCTCCCCCAGCTTTCTCCTTAGCTCTGGCCTTTCACCCCTGTTTGCTACAAGTGATTCATATTTCAGCATATAATTTTCTGCCTTTCTTTGTCCTGGGTGACTCATGCATAGGCCAGCTTAGAGACACTTAATGCAAATCGACAAGGACTCCATTTTGATTTGTGTATCTGCCTTCAATTTCCTTCGGCTCTTGATAGAAAGGTGGATTTTTTTTCCTTTCAAAATTGTTAGGAAATTGTTGGTTTTGTTAAGACTGGAATTCTTAATTTTTATGGGGGATTTAGTTATGCATTTGCACACATAGGACTGAGATTCAGGGCCGGATTTAGATGAAAAGAGGCCCTAGGCTATTCCACTT